TCGTGGGGGTTGCGATGTACTATCGTAAACAATGCACTGCCACGAAAATATTAAATATTAAGACTATTTTGTTCTTATTTAGTATTATTGTTATTCGTTGATTAATTAATGCTATATTTTCGTACGCGTTATTTACGCAGCGCACGTTAATATTGTTCAGTTGCTCAGGCGTGACCATCGCAACGGACGACCTGGGTATTATTCGAAAATACGGTCAATAATAATAAGAAAATTGTCCCGTAGTAATAATATATCTATTATCTATTATTAATAAGAAATAAGCCATTCGTGATGGATACAATAGCATCCACGACCCAATTTCTATTAATAAAATAGATCCTGATATAGTTTTTAGGCATACTATAGTCTTATGACCCATTTGTTGTGGATAAAATAGCCTGTCTGACCCATTTGTTGTGGATAAAATAGCCTGTATGCCCCATTAGTTGTGGATAAAATAGCCAGTCCGACCCATTTGTTGTGTATAAAATTAATAGCCTTGTTTGACCCATTTGTTGTGGATAAAATAGCCTCACTGACCCACTTATTATACGAAAAATATTGCCTCTTATCGATGCAGACAATAATTGAGACGCAGTGAATGACCAAGCGTTGTACTGAACACGACGAGTGTTGGGGCGGCGGCCCCCGCGCTGGGGCGTCGGCCCCCGCGCTGGGGCGGCGGCCCCCGCGCTGGGGCGTGGCCCAACACGTGCGCTCTTCCTGGTTACGTGGGCCCAGACTCCAACTATGTATATCAAATCCAGTGGTAACTAATGTTTCAACACTAGTTTCAACGCCAGTTTCAACACCACTTTCAACATTAGTTCAAATACCAGTTTCAAATCCACTTTCAAGATCATTTCTGACAACAGTTTAACACCATTTGAAACATCAGTTTCAAAAAGAATTTAAACACCAGTTTCAACATTTGTTTCAATACCAGTTTCAAATCCATTTTCAACGCCAGTTCTGACAACAGTTTTAACACCAGTTTCAACACCAGTTTCAACGCCAGTTTCAACACCAGTTCTGACAACAGTTTAACACCAGTTCAACACCATTTTCAACACAAATTTCAACACCAATTTCAACACCACTTTCAACACCAGTTTCAACACCAATGTCAACACCAGTTTTAACCCCCACTTCCCTCAGAAAAAAATCAGTCGGTCATGTTGTCTAAATAGTAACACACTTATTGAACGTAGCACTGATACGCCCAAGTGGCGAGCCAAAGTAGGTGAAGATGACCGACCTGCACAGGGACAAAAAGTGCATTGCTATGCGGGAAATATCCCACACATTTATGTGAGTGTATCTAGCACGACTTTTGCCTCAGTCCTCAGTTAAAGGCGCTGTTACACTTCCAGATTTCAACTTAAATTTCAAATATTTTGTTCAACTCTCAATTTTTCACCTAACAATAATAATAATATAATTATATTATATTATTATAATATAATAATTACTTTTTCACCTAACATTCCCAAGCAAAATTCTCTAATTAATGTTTTTTTCTTTTCCAGGTAAGAATTTAGAGTTATTCATCACAACGAGTCGTGAGTACAACGTATAACTTTACCTATTGGCTTGTCTCATCGCTTACTTTCCCAATTACTGTTAGATAAAAGATAAATTAACTGATAATCGTAATTGAAGTTTGTAAATTCACATTCGTTGTTGAGCAACAATTGAGTATAAGAAGAAATATCGGGCGTGTCAAGCTCACCAACCGCTATAGTGACGCAACGAAAATTGATAAATGTAATTTTTATTTCTATATTGATCATTCCCTTTTCATGCATAATTTTTGATAAATTTCTACTCCTTTTATAATTTGGATTAGGCTGTTTAATTGAGGACGCCATCAACGCGTTTTCTAGTTTACAAATTACATATAATGAATATGATGATAATTCAATTGTCATCATATTTATTGGTCCTGATTGATTATTTTCGCTTTTATAACTTGCTAAATCTTATGTTAATTATTTATTAACCTAGTCACTGTATTTTCATACCTTATTAAGAAATTGTTGATAACATAATAGATACTGCGTTCATTATTAGTGAAAATATGCATTGTTAAATCATATTCGTTCATATGAATTTTATATATTCACGATATGATGAATATATTATGTATATATTCATGATATATTTCATGAATCAATTAGACATAATGAATATATTATGTATGCATTCATGATATCTTTCATGAATATATCATTGGAAGATTTATAGTTTGTGATAATTTAGAAAGTACAAGAGTGAAGAGCGTGAGCGAGAGACATCGTTCGTAGCTACAACAGCACTTTTACTTTCGTCGTTGCTGCGTGTTGCCGCGCGCCAGGTTTCACTTCCCTCTTACTTTCACTTTCATACGGAGTAACATTCCTGACCTACTTTCTGCCTCTGTCAAGTAAAAGCTACTTATTATTTATGTAAAATTATATGTTATTTATGTGGTACGAGGTAGAACGTTATTTCTCATTAAATTCTTAAATAATTTTTGGCTTGAAGCTACTATTTATTATCTACAATAATTTATAAATATTAGCGATTTAAATGACGAAGAAACTGCGTTCGTTCGCGCACATACTTTTGAGATGTGCATGAGACGACGTACAGAAATGCTCGTCGCGAGACTTGTGTCGTGCACGAGACGACGTACAGAAATGCTCGTCGCGAGACTTGTGTCGCGCATGAGACGACGTACAGAAATGCTCGTCGCGAGACTTGTGTCGCGCATGAGACGACGTACAGAAAAGCTCGTCGCGAGACTTACGTCGTCCATGAGACGACGTACAGAAATGCTCGTCGCGAGACTTACGTCGCGCATGAGCGCACCGGCGCGCAGCAGCGGCGCTTGCGACACTCGCCTCTGCGCACGCCAGTCGTGGCCAGTCTTGCGCATCGCACGTTTGTTAAATCGCGTATTTCTACATTCCACGTTTGTTAAATCACACGTTGTTTCGTAAAAATTTGTCGTAATGCGCTTTGTCGTATCCCACTTTGTTGTAACGCAAGCTCATTGTTACAGACGTTCGTTGCATCTAACATCGGTTGTTTTGAACTTTTGCAATTTCAAGCTTCATTTTTACGTTAAAATTAGTTAAAATCTTGATGTTGAATTTCGCAATGAAGCTCTCACGAACATTATTTTCATCATAATTTAAATTAAATTTATAAATTTAATTTATACACATTCTTGAATTCTTGAACATTTTTCTTCACGCGTGACGTGGTCAAGACACATGCTATTCGCTATATTTTATTTGATCGGAATATCTTCTTAATATCAGCATGTTCTTCTCTTTGGATAATGAGATAATTATCAAAAGAAAATGGATAATGAGATAATTATACATGCAGATAATTACATGTTCACTACGTTGTTCAACCATCTGATCTATCATGTGAACATGCTTGCACGCATGATCATACATATATGTTCATACATACATATATGTTCATACATGTATATGTTCATGCTCGAAGTTGATGGCTATTATGGCTTAAACGTTCCCGCGTTGAATCACAAGTTCAATATTAAGTTCAATTATCAGGCATATTTTGTTTTGTTAACATGCTTGTACCTAATCGTTCACCTCTTCATGTACCATGTTCATCCCACACTCACATGTTCGTTGTTCACCCCCACCATCCACCACTATGTTATTCCACACTCACATGTTCACGCTACCCTCCACCACCACGTTCATACCTATATACATCACATGTCCATAACCTCTGTATCCAATCCAATCACCACCATGTTCATCTCACACTCACATGTTCACGCTACCCTCCACCACCACGTTCTTATCTACATCACATGTCCACCCCACCTATCACCACCATGTTCATCTCATACTCGCATGTTAATTTCTACATCGGATGTCCACATACACAAAGGCCGGCCGCCTCTTGCGCGCAGAACCAATTCCTGCTTTTTGTGCGAGAAAGACAGAAAAAAGTTTTTTTTTTGTGGATAAACTATGTGCAAAGTGGATTCTTTCTCGTGATGAAACGGAGTGAGAGTTTTTCTCGTGATGAAACGGAGAGCCTTCCTCGTGATGAAACTGAGTGAAAGGCTTTCTCGTGATGAAACGGAGAGCCTTCCTCGTGATGAAATTGAGTGAAAGTCTTTCTCGTGATGAAACTGAGTGTGAGAGTCTTTCTCGTGAAGAATCGGAGTGAGAGTCTTTCTTGTGTAGTGAACTTGAACGCAGTCGTGTTAGTGATTCAGTGGGGAAAGCTATCGTTGGTAATGATGTTGAACAACGTCAAGATGGTGATGAAATTCCTAAACGCACATTTGGTGATGAAATGCTACTACATTACGTTGGTGATGTAACGAAAAATTTTACGGTCACCCTAGGAGTTTTTTATGTTTACCCTGGCAGCTCGGAAACAGTTCTGGATGACGTCATTTGCTTGTTTATATTCAGAACTATGCAGCACCGTACCTCGGTGTGGTAGATAACATAGGAGATCGCGCTGTTACAGCTGACCGGTTTAAATTACTGAGAATCAAAACTGCTAACTTGAAAATTGATCACGAGCGATTAATTAATGAAGAAGCTTAGTGAATTTTGACAGACAATTTTTAATTACAAATGAAACGTATTAATCGTAGAGAAACGTTGAATAAAAAAGAATATGAAAAAACAAGCGGATAATCGGCATAAACCACCGTTAAGTCAATTACGATATTAAAAAATTATTACGTAAATATTCCATTTATTTACATAGAAACCACAGTTGGCACAGACTAGCGTTAATAACTGGCAAACTACTGTTAATTTCGTCTGAAGATGTTCACTGAATATTTAGTCGTCACGTCTGCCCTCCTGGCCACTGATGTTAGTATTAGGATTAAAAATGTTAAGATAAACCGTAAAAAAGTTAAGGTTTTTTTTTGTAGGGTACGATAGCCGTTAATGCAACCCCCACTCTCCCCACCCCCCATTCTGTCTCTTATACACATCTAGATGTGTATAAGAGACAGCCATCATCCACCAACTCACCCCATCATCCACCAACTCACCCCATCATCCACCAACTCACCCCATCATCCACCAACTCACCCCATCATCCACCAACTCACCCCATCATCCACCAACTCACCCCATCATCCACCAACTCACCCCATCATCCACCAACTCACCCCATCATCCACCAACTCACCCCATCATCCACCAACTCACCCCATCATCCACCAACTCACCCCATCATCCACCAACTCACCCCATCATCCACCAACTCACCCCATCATCCACCAACTCACCCCATCATCCACCAACTCACCCCATCATCCACCAACTCACCCCATCATCCACCAACTCACCCCATCATCCACCAACTCACCCCATCATCCACCAACTCACCCCATCATCCACCAACTCACCCCATCATCCACCAACTCACCCCATCATCCACCAACTCACCCCATCATCCACCAACTCACCCCATCATCCACCAACTCACCCCATCATCCACCAACTCACCCCATCATCCACCAACNAAGCATGAGCAGCAACAAGCATGAGCAGCAACAAGCATGAGCAGCAACAAGCATGAGCAGCAACAAGCATGAGCAGCAACAAGCATGAGCAGCAATAAGCATGAGCAGCAACAATTAAGCATGAGCAGAGTGAGAGGTAAGCGTGCTTTGCTTCGCACTCTTCAAGCATGACACGCATCGAGCGTGGCACTTCTGCGTGTGAACCAGAGAATGTCTGGCCCGGCCACGCTCACCCAGTGTCTCCTAGCTACATCCATATACCGCATATAGCTTTATTCCTTTCCTTCCTAGCTCTATTCCTCTGCCTCCTAGCTCTATTCAATTCCTTTCTAGCTCTATTCTTCTGCCTCCTAGCTCTATTCTTTTCCCTCATAACTACATTCCTCTGCATCCTAGCTCTATCCCTCTCCCTCCTAGCTACATTCCTCTGCATCCTAGCTTTATTCCTCTGTTTCCTACCTTTATACCCCTCCGTCCTAGCCCTATTCCTTCCCCTCCAGCTCTATACTCTCCCCCTTGTATCTCCATCTCTCCTCCTAACTCCATCCCTCACATCCTAGCTCTATTCCTCTCCATCCTCTGCTTCCTAGCTGTCTCTCTGCCGGGAAGCACTTCATCCCTGCATGTCTCCCAGCATCCACATCGCATGTCTCAACATAATAGCGTGTTCAAGTCGTGTACAGAATATGTCGTAACATTGCTATATTTATAGCTCCTAAATATTACTATTTATATAGTTCCTAAATATTACTGTTTATATAGCTCCTAAATATTACTATTTATATATCTCCTAAATAATACTATTTATATAGCTCCTAAATATTACTATTTATATATCTCCTAAATAATACTATTTATCTAGCTCCTAAATATCACTATTTATACATCTCCTAAATATTACTATTTATGTAGCTGCTAAGTTTGCCACTGAGTTACGTGTTCAATTATCGCTCATTCCCTCTTCTTTTATTCACGATCCACCATCCTTTATGTAAGCATGAATTATTGTATATACTTCTTTGATAATGTTCAAATTGTCAGCTTTTGACACCATGTCTTTCTTTAATATAATTAATTAATATAATTGATTTATTTAACTTACAGTCATCTACAATGGTGGATTCCCCTCATGTAAGTATGTGTTATGTTATTATGATATCACCAGAATGTTTCGTCGTTGATACTTTCATTTGAATTATTCAGCTGAATCCTGCACTGAATAATGAAATATTTTTATTCTTTACAACTAGCAGGGATTAACATTTTCATTATCCAATACTTATATTCAACAATTATCTACTAAAGAATCAGAGAGTTAATTGGCTTCTAACCGTCTTGATGAAAAGTTTTCTTTCTCCGACCTTAGTTTATTTAGACAATTATTTAAATTTTCACTAAATAAAATCTATAAAATATCTTCCATAGGACGCGGCGTGACAGCTTTTACATGGTCGCTCTTTGTCCACATGCAAATGACTGGATTGCAATTCAATGCGTTGTGTACTTCATGGGAACTTAAACCAATTGTTGTGTTCCAGCCTCATGCAAATGTTGAGGTACAAATACACTTTTGTTTTCTGTGTGTTACTTTCAACCCTTAAGTCTGAAGGAGGGAGGTCATATAAGTATCTTTTATCAGCATTTTCTGTGAAGTGAATAAATGACTTTGTATAATACACAGTTTTGAATGGTGTGCATCAAGTTATCTTGTGATTATTAATCTATCATTTAGTTAGTTTGAAGATCATTTGAGATATTGATATGAAATAAAGTAATTTCGTAAGTCAGATATCCAAATAATGATTCAAGCTATTAAAGCTATGCAGATATTCTTATTAATATTGTATGAGAGTGTATAGAAATGGCGAAAAAAGTCGGAAATTATGTTACGATGTAAGGCAAGACTGCAACGCGAGGTCGAACGGAGTGTTGCGTGTTAGAGTGGTAGTGATGAGTGGTGGTGATGAGTGGTGGTGATGAGTGGTGGTGATGAGTGGTGGTAATGAGTGGTGGTAATGAGTGGGGGTAATGAGTGGTGGTAATGAGTGGTGGACTGGTGGTGTCAGGGTGTTGGTGATGAGTGGTGGTAATGAGTGGTCGTGTTGGAGCGATGGTGATAAAATGTGGGGGAAATGAGTGGTCATGTTAAAGCGTGGGTGGTAATGAGTGGTCATATTAAAGAGTAATTGGTAATGAATGGTGGTGTTGAAGCAGTGGTGGTATATGAGTGATAGTACTGCAATGGCGGTGGTGAAGAATGGCAGTAATTAGTGGTGATAGTGATGATGGAGGTGAGTGAAAGCTGCGTATTGAAACGATGAGGGTTAAGAGTGGTGATGATAAAGGCTTGGTGGTGCAGGTCCCATCAAAGAGATGTTGGGAGTCAAAGCGCACTCACTTGCTACTCATTATAAGGCGATGTAGGTCACGCTTCTTGAGTCTTATAAAGACCTGCGAACTGCCGTCGCCTTGACATGCTTGTACGGCGCCCGCTTGATCCAGCCGCTGGCGACCTTGCATCGCCGTATGCTGTTGCTGGACGCTGTGGTGTCGCCGCATGCTGTTGCTGGACACTGTGGTGTCGCCGTATGCTGTTGCTGGACACTGTGGTGTCGCTGTATAGTGTTGCTGGGCACTGCATGTGGTGTCGCCGTATGCTGTTGCTGGACGCTGGGGTGTCGCCGTATGCTGTTGCTGGACGCTGTGGTGTCAGCGTATGTTTCATTGTATTGCGTATCTTCGCTCACGTATTTGCTACCATCCTCGATTGCGTAGCTTTGCGTATATACGCAGAAACCATTGAGGACGCCGTGCGTAGTGCCGCTGTTGTTCGTAATTTCGTCTCCGTCCGTAACTCGGAGTTCCGTGGCCCCCGTCCGCAGATGCTGGTCTTCCAAATCTCTCATCGCGCCCTCGTCCTGTTCTAAATTGGAGCACAGGTCCTCTTTGCCCTCTTCTATGCCGGTGTAGGGCCACTCCGCTGCGCATTTCCTGCTGCTACATGGCCACGATGTCCTATGCAGTTACTGCTGCTTCTACTGCTACTCATGCTGCCACTCTAGCTTGGTGGCACCAACCTCTGCTGCAGCTGCCACTACTGCAGCTGCCACTACTGCAGCTGCCACTACTGCAGCTGCCACTACTGCAGCTGCCACTACTGCAGCTGCCACTACTGCAGCTGCCACTACTGCAGCTGCCACTACTGCAGCTGCCACTACTGCAGCTGCCACTACTGCAGCTGAGAAGAAATGCTTTCGAACGGCCTCGGCAGGTGACGCGCTGACCTGAATACCTGAGCGCTTTCGTGCGTGTCAGCGGCCTGCACTCCTCCTTCGTGCGTGTCAGCGGCCTGCACTCCTCCTTCGTGCGTGTCAGCGTCCTGCACTCCTCCTTCGTGCGTGTCAGCGTCCTGCACTCCTCCTTCGTGCGTGTCAGCGGCCTGCACTCCTCTTTCGTGCGTGTCAGCGGCCTGCACTCCTACTTCGTGCGTGTCAGCGTCCTGCTCTCCTACTTCGTGCGTGTCAGCGGCCTGCACTCCTCCTTCGTGCGTGTCAGCGGCCTGCACTCCTCCTTCGTGCGTGTCAGCGCACTGGCACTATCACCATCATCGTCACCACTACCATCATCGTCACCACAACCATCATCACCACCATCATCGTCACCATTGCACATCACTCTCTCCAGGCGCAATATAATGCAATGATAAGCAATTATACGCCCGCCTCGTTATTACTTGTCGAGAGAAAGTCTTGCCAGGCGCTAACTGGATATACGCATCCTGGGGCTGGATTATACGCATCCTGGTGCTGGATTATACGCATCCTGGAGCTGGATTATACAGCATAGGATCTAATTTATCCAGTTTATTTACTTTACTGTAATGTTATGCCTATAAACGATGTCATTTCAGTGGTTGAAAACTAGATTTCGTTGGGTTTAGTACAGAGAATTTCGGTATTTATTTACAACTGCCACGATTGGATGTTAGAATTCGATGCATCCTCAGATAGCAAAACTTTACGAATGCTTCCATTTGTTGAAACTTTGATTATTATTGATTGTAGGTATAAATAATACAAGTATTATAAAATTAATGATGCAACTTACATTGTTTTTTATGGTAATTGCCATTAAAATTCAATGCACTTTTTGTTGGAACTTTCATTTACTCAAACAAAGGCGTTAAAAAATATTTTATTCATATCGCATCTGCTGCTCCTGTCGCGCTCTGTATCCATCCATGGTTTCTGGAATGATGGATCTAATCTCGGCTAAGCCGGCATTATGCGTCGCCCCCTTTCCTCCACGCGTCGCCCTATTTCCATGCACCATTCCATCCCCCCCACGCGTCGCCCCCTTTCCACGCACTATTCTCCCCCCACCCGCGCGTCGCCTCTCTCCCCCCTACGCATGAGGGGGCCAAACCCCTACCCTCCCACGCGGGGGTTGCCGGCAGTAATGTCAAGAATCGTTCTCTCCGAGTGGGGAAAATGCTATTTTTATTGAGAATTACGATATTTTCTCTAAATGAAGAAGATATGTGTTTTTTTAACAGTTTTGCTATTTTTTGGTTTGTAGATACAAGATTCGTGTTTTATTGATTATTTTTGATTAATTGTATTGATTTCTCTGTGGTTTCGTATTTTTGTTGCCTCCGTTTTTTCGTGTTTAACTGCACTTTTCGTTGCTTTTGTTTATGTTGTTATTGATGCTGCCGGCCGGTTCACTTGTAAAAATCATCCCTTCTTCATTCCACGAATTTATGGCAGCAACGTCATGCAGAGTGACGTCATGTAGAGTGACGTCACGCGGATGACGTCACGCGGATGACGTCACGCGGGATGACGTCTAACAACCGGCAAACGAGCCTCCGCGAGCTTGGGATGTGGTTATGCTGTACGTATTGCTCATGAAACGTATATATATATTCTTATAATCATGAGTAAGTTTATTATTCAATGGACAAATAAGTTATTTATTTGTTACCGGGTTATGAAATATAACGTTTAATGACTGTAAGAAAGAGTTGTTGGTGTCCTTTTTTTGCGTGTGTTTATGTGAGTGACCAATTCTGAAGCTAAAATTCCTTAGTACAGTTTGTCTTTAATCTAAAATTATATCTCCATATCAAACTAGATGATGTGTTATCATTATCGATTTTGGTATTCATTGTTAGCTCGAAATTCTGGCTACGAATCAGCGGTAATTCACAGTAAAGGCGTTCAGAGAAAATTACTGAATTTCTTTTCAAAAGCGGCATTTGAGAAGCTAAGCGACTAACGCATTTAAAAAAAATTAATACAAAGCAAAGGATTGAGAACACCGAGACTATCAGCATTAACATGTTTGTGCTTGCTGCACGTTATTACACGAAGATAATCTTATATTTATTGGCCACCGAAAAGCCGGCGAATATTTAAATAAATAAACTGCGCGAGCTGAGATCTTTTCAAGGTCAGGCTGTGTGCCAAGTAAGTGCGTCCTGTGTGCTGTGTTGTATGTGTTGTGTTGTATGTATGTGTTGTCTCGTGTGTTGTGTTGCATGTGTTGTGTTGCATGTGTTGTGTTGTATGTGTTGTGTTTACTGTGTTGTGTTGACTGTGTTGTCTCGTGTGTTGTGTCCAGTGTGTTGTGTTGCATGTGTTGTGTTGTATGTATGTGTTGTCTCGTGTGTTGTGTCCAGTGTGTTGTGTTGCACGTGTTGTGTTGACTGTGTTGTGTTGTATGTGTTGTATTGCATGTGTTGTGTTGACTGTGTTGTGTCGTATGTGTTGTCTCGTGTGTTGTGTTGTATGTGTTGTGTCCCGTGTGTTGTGCTTGTTGTGTTGAATTTTGTGTCTACCTCCGATATCGATATCACTAACCTTCAGTTTGAAGTGGTATAAGAGCCTCAATGATACTGTGTTCTCTAGCGCGCGCGTTGTGATAACAACAAATATTAAGCGGTGATCTTGAGTCGAACTTTTGTCCCCCTTTTCCGGTCTGAAGACGAGCATTTGTTCCCTTGCGTCTGAAGCTGTTCTCTTGCGTCTTAAGTTGTTCCCTTGCGTCTGAAGCTGTTCCCTTGCGTCTGAAGCTGTTCCCTTGCGTCTGAAGCTGTTCCCTTGCATCTGAAGCTGTTCCCTTCCGTCTGAAGCTGTTCCCTTGCGTCTGAAGCTGTTCCCTTGCGTCTGAAGCTGTTCCCTTGCGTCTGAAGCTGTTCCCTTCCGTCTGAAGCTGTTCCCTTGCGTCTTTAGTTGTTCCTCCACGTTTCCATGCCTCTAATTACCCCCTCCACCCCACGGAGCTGTCGTGTATTTTTTGCACTGACTGGAAAATCTGGCTCGCTGCGGCACGCACGGACTAGACTGCGTGCGTGGGTATTCCCGACGATGCGTGCGTGCAGTAAAATCTTGCGCACGCACATGGTTTTCGTGTCCCTGCGTGTACTTCTGTTCTTGTGTTGATTTTACTCATGTGTGAGTTATTGCTCATGGTACATTAGGAACACCCGTTGTTATCCTCACGTTCACTCACACGCTGCGTGCGTGAGCATACATATACAAACATGCACACGCCCCTGGAGTGTTCAAGTCTCCTCTACAGTGTTTAGGGATACACTCACACAACATACATCATTTTAACACATGTTAGGCCTAGACACACGATATCTACACACTGATACCTCATCCCATACAGGCGCATCTACAAGATACACTCTGATACATACGCCCACATATATGCAAGCACACTCATCATTCTACATGACACTCGACTCAAAACTAAGCTTCACTCTACGCCACACACTACAAAAATTACACACCCCACACTACACATACAACACAACACACCACACCACACAATACACCATACCACTTCCCACAACACTTACCGCATACAACACACAACATCCCACAACACACCATACAACATCCCGCACCACACTGCATCACACACCACACAACGTGCCATACCACATCCCATAACACATACCACATACAACACAACATCCCACACCACACGGCATCACATCACGCACACACCACAATTCACACCCCACACTCAATTCCTTTCAATACACACCCCACACCACCCGTCTCACACTACACGCTACATATCTCCCACACGCTACACATCCCCCCACACAACACCCCGCGTGTGTGGTAGTAGGAAGTCCCGGGGGTATCCCGCGGGTGTCCCGCGGGTGTCCAGCAGGTATGCCGGGGGTCACTGGGTGCACGCTCCCCCTTTCCCCCAAACTTTGCCACCCTAGTTTACGGTTAACAGTTTGCAGGTTTACAACCTTCATCTTCACAGTTAGCAAGTTAATGCTGTTAGTATAGTTTACAGTTGAAAGACAAATGCTGAAATTAAATCACACATCTAACACGCTAACGCGGAAATTAAAACTCACAGTTTAGACGTTAATGCTACCTTTTCAACCTCAACATTATTTTCAGAAGTCGGAACTTTCATCCCTTGTAATTTATGATTTCTCGGAATATTAAAATTTTGGAACGAGACTTTGATCCAAATAATCGCTCTTGATATATCGATTCAATTATTTCTCAGACGATGAATATTATGCAATTTAAAGCTATTCATATTTTTCTATTCAGTGAAATGTGCTTTTGAAATAGAATCGTCGGCCAATCGATGGCCGCATATAAGCCGCCTGTAATATTGATATATTGTACGGCAACGACGCGCATGCCCCGTCGCCCTTGTGGCGCACTCAGGAAGGGCGAATGCAGCGGCGCATTGCAGGCGTGGCTGCATCGCGCATTTTGATGCTCGCTCTAAAGACGCATTTTAATGCGTCATTTAGAGACGCATTTTTAGTGCGACTTTTAGAGGCGCATTTAAATTTTCATTTTAAAGCTCATATTAATGCCACTCTCACGACGCATTTTAACACCACTTTCACGACGCATTTTAATGCCACTTTCACGACGCATTTTAACGCCACTTTCACGACGCATTTTAACGCCACTTTCACAACGCATTTTAACGCCACTCTCACAACGCATTTTAACGCCACTCTCACAACGCATTTTAACGCCACTCTCACAACGCATTTTAACGCCACTCTCACAACGCATTTTAACGCCACCCTAACGACGCATGCCAATGAAAGTAAGCAAGGCACCTTAATAATAGCGCAGATGCAAAGCTACTAACTAATGCGTTCTACTGCTCCATTGCAAGCATTATCTTAATGTTGCATTATTATGGCGTGAATATACTTCAATATTTTAATGAAGCACTTATGAGTAGCAGTGCGCATTTTATCAACGGCATCATAGTGCGCGTGCTGCGCTCACTCTGCTGCGTATATACTGTAGCACGCACAGCTCGTATTGGAATGCGTATATAGCACGCACAGCTCGTATTGGAATGCGTATATAGCACGCACAGCTCGTATTGTAATGCGTATACAGCACGCACAGTTCGTATTGGAATGCGTATACAGCACGCACAGCTCGCATAGGAATGCGTAATGCATTTTTTTGAAATAACCAATATGTGAGCATGGGTTAAACGCATTACAAAGCAAGTATCAAATGTTTGGTCCTGTTTATTTGCAAGCAAATA